CAACCTGCCCCCCTCCTCACCCCCCCCCACGAACCGCCCCGCCCCCGCCGGGCTGGCCCCGCCCCCAAAATCGGGACCATCCCAATTTTTAGCTGTTTGTCCCACATCCCGAACTTTCTCTGGTTTGGATGCAATTTGTCCCGATATTTTGCTCGGCAGGTGTATCAGCACTCGGCTTCCCCCCCGCCCCGTGTCCCGATATTTTCTTCATCTCATCTGGTCACCCTACCCGCCCCCAGAACCGCCCCCCGCACTCCCCCAGAACAGCCTCACCCCCAAACTGCCCCCTCTCACCCTCCCAGAACGGCCTCACCCCCCAAACTGCCCCCTCTCACCCTCCCAGAACGGCCTCACCCCCAAGAACTGCCCCCTCCTGCCCCCCCATGGCTCCTTCCCCCCAAACTGCCCCCTCTCCCCTCATCACGGAGCTGCCCCTGCGTACCTGTGGTGCTGCGGGGGCTTTCTTGGGAAGGGAACTGGGTGCTAAAGCCACGAAGGTGCCATGCGGGGGTCACGTTGTGGGTGCTGGGACACTGGTTTTCTGACTGGAACTGCCAGCTGGGTTCAGCCCGTGTCCCAGCCCACCTGGCTCCCGTCTCTGGCAGGGCCAGAACCAGCTGCTTTAGAGAAATGCCTGGATCCCGTTCAGCTACTGGCCACAGGGGACCCGGTAGAAGTGAGTTCGTCACTGAGTGGAGAAGTGTTTCCTTCACTCCTGCATACATTTGTTCCCTGTTACTGTCAATGACTCCTCCTCATTCCTGGGGGGAGAAGAAGTGGGAATGTTCTTAATGTTTCGTCTGAACACGGTGTGTGCCTCAGTTTCCCCTGTGTGTTACTCAAGTACCGAGGTGGTGGGTGTGACAAAGTGGGGGATTTTCTTGTTGTTTTTTTTCTTGTTTTTCCAATGGTTTGCATGCAGGGGGGTGGGACTCAGTTTCCTTGGGTGTTGCTGGTTTAACGAGGGGAGGGGGGAGGGAGTTTGTTGTTACACAGGACCGGAGAGGGAACTTGGGACCCCAGCCAATGGCCTGGAGAATGGAGACCCCAGTGACTGGTGACTGGGAGGCCCAGCTCAGGAGTCACAGCCGGTTCTGGCCAGTGGGAGGACAATGGGCTGCGGGGAGAGGACCCTGGTAACCAGCTGGGAGCAGGGGGGCTCAGGGCTGGAGAGGGGGAGCAGGCAGAGCCCACCTGGATGCTGGGAGACTGGGATGTGCTGGGCTGAGGGAGGCCAGGCCTGAGGTCTGGAGAGTTTCCTGTGCTAGGTTCAACGCTCAATAAACCCTCCTGTTTTACGCTGGCTGAGAGTCGCTCCAGTCTAGAGAACAGGGCAGGGAGGAGGGGCCGAGAGGTGCGGCTCCAGGAGGTGGAGGGGCCTAACCCTGAGAGAGAGTGGACCGTGCTGTCTCACTGAAGGGGGTTCTCCCCAGGGACTGCACGGGGCCGTGACAATGGGACCAGGGGGTGTGATTGTCGCAGAGACCCTAGAGGGCAGGTGGGACTGCTGACGGGCTGCAGAGAACGGCCGACACTTGTAGCCTGGCAGCTGCTGGCTGGGCCCCCCCCTCTGCAAGGAGCGGCGGGGGTTGGTGCAGCCCAGGTGACCGGCTGGACCCGGAAAGGGACAAAGGACGGAGGAGGACAACGGGTGTGATGGAGGCCGGGCAGCTGGAAGCGAGTCAGTCTCCTGGTTGGGGACTTGGGTCGAGGGCCCAGGGCCCTGCCCACCCCCACCCCCCCGATGGACTTTGCCGAAGATCCCTGATCTCGGTGCTACCAAGCTCTGGTTTCCCAACGATAATAACCCGTCTGTGCCACACGCGGGCGGGGAGTCACAGCTGGCTGCGGTGTGGGGGGCAGGGCCCTTTGGGGGTGAGGCTCCCCCAGGGGTCCCGCCCAGGAAGACTCGCTGTGGGGAGCTCCCGGGGTGACCAGGGGGCTGAACGCTCCGAGGTCAGGAGGTGCCGAAGCAGAGCAGGGTCCTTGCCCTGGGACAGGTGCCCTGAGGGGAGATGCTGCCCCAGAGTCCTGCTGGGTGTCATTCCGAGTGGGGCCAGAGCCCCCAGTTGGGGCGCCCAGGACAGGGGAGCAGTAATAGAAGTCCCCTGACTGCCCCCCCCATCAGTATTCTCTCTCCCATCCCCTCCAGCACTAATTGGCCTGGCTGGTGCCTTTCCCACAGTGGGGGAGCAGACCCAGTCCAGTGCTTGGGGGCTGACGCAGGGGGAACACATACAGTCCAGTGCCCATGGGCGAGAGGGGAGCAGACCCAGCAGAATGCCAGAAGTGGCGGGGGGGAGGCAGACCCAGGGCATCAAACTCAGGGTGGTGGCTGGGGGAGTGGGGGAAGTGTCACAGATCCACAGCATTGGGGCTATCCCCCAGCTTTTAAACAGGCCTTCGGAGGAACCCTTCAATGTTCTGGACCCCCAAAGACTCCCACTCTTCCTCCAGGGCAGGCCACAGGGTCTGAGCGCCTCTGGGCTCCCGCCTCCTGCTTCCCAGCAGAGCTCTGCCCAGCGCCTCGTTTGCTAACCATGAATGTTCTGCTCTTGGGATGCTGCATTGACGTGGGTCACTTTCAGCAGCTTCCAGCCACTGCCTTAACAAGGTGACGCCCGCACCTCCTGTCCTGCACTGCCCCCCCAGAGCAGACAACCCCTGTCATAACTATAAAGGGAAGGGTAACAGCCCTCCTGTGTACAGTACTATAAAATCCCTCCTGGCCAGAGACTCCAAAATCCTTTTACCTGTAAAGGGTTAAGAAGCTCAGGTAACCTGGCTGATACCTGACCCAAAGGACCAATAAGGGGACAAGATACTTTCAAATCTTGGTGGGGGGAAGGCTTTTGTTTGTGCTCTTTGTTTTTGGGGGGTTGTTTGCTCTTGGGACTAAGAGGGACCAGACATCAATCCAGGCTCTCCAAATCTTTCTGAACAAGTCTCTCCTATTTCAAACTTGTAAGTAATAGCCAGGCAAGGCGTGTTAGATTTCTTTGTTTTCTCAACTTGTAAATGTTCCTTTTGCTAGAGGGTTTACTCTGTTTGCTGTAACTTTGAACCTAAGGCTAGAGGGGGTTCCTCTTTAAATCCTGTAGAGTTATTTTCTATCCTGATTTTACAGAGATGGTTTTTACCTTTCTTTCTTTAATTAAAAGCCTTCTTTTTAAGAACCGGATTGATTTTTCCTTGTTCTAAAATCCAAGGGGGTTGGAGCTGGACTCACCAGGAATTGGTGGGAGGAAAGGAGGGGGAATGGTTAATTTCTCCTTGTTTTAAGATCCAAGGGGTTTTGAATTAGCGTTCACCAGGGAATTGGTGAAGAGTCTCTCAAGGTTACCCAGGGAAGGGAGTTAGTACTTGGGAATGTTGGCAGCAAAAGCAGATCTAAGCTGGTAGTTAAGCTGAGAGATTTTCATGCAGGTCCCCACATCTCTACCCTAGAGTTCAGAGTGGGGAAGGAACCTTGACAACCCCCTTTTCCTCCAGGGCCGGTAATGCCAAATACAGATGGAAACTGAGGCACATGGCAGATTAATAAATAGTCCAGATGTGACAAAGTGGGGATTTTCCTTGTTATGATGGGAATAAGCAGGTATGACATTTGTGGGGGTCGCTCTAGCTGCCTGCATGGATGCTATGGCCGCCCCTTCGTAACCTGAGACCCCGGAGGGGGATGCAACCCGGTGACTCTTGGCCCGGAAGTGAGACAAAGGCCGGAGGAGCAACGGGCAGGGCAGGGCAGGGGCCAGGCAGCTGGAAGCGAGTCAGTCTCGGCTGGCTTGGGGCGCAGGGGGAGGCAGAGCCCTGGCTCTGGGCTCCCCTCCGCACAAGCTGGACTTGGCTGAAAGTCACTGATTTCTGTACCTACAAGCTCTGCCCTACGCTGTGTTCCCGTCAATGAATAAAGCTTCGGTGTTCCTGGCTGGCTGAGAGTCACGTCTGACTGTGGAGCTGGGGTGCAGGGTCCTCAGGCTTCCCCAGGAGCCCCACCTGTGAGGACTCGCTGTGGGAAGCGCACGGAGGGGCAGGGGAGGCTGAATGCTCCAGGGTCAGACCCAGGGAGGTGGAAGCCGTGTGAGCTTCTTGCCCTGGCGACAGTCTGCTCCCAGAGAGGAGGCTTCCCCAGAGTCCTGACTGGCTTCGTAGGGAGCAGTTCCAGAGCATCGCCCGGGGACTCCGTGACAGCAGAAAATTCCCACTTTGTCACCAGGAGAAGCCGCAGCACAGTGCCAGGATGGGAGAGTGCAAACAACATCCTGGGAGGGCAGGGGACAGATGCAGCCCGTGGTGCAGAAGGAGCCGACCCAACGCAGAGCTGGGAGGGGATGGGGGGAAGCAGGCCCAGCAGGCAACACAGGGGAATATGGGGGGAGCAGGTCCAGCGCGGTGCCAAGGGGAGCAGACTCAGCACAGCACCTCAGGGGGCAGAAGGAGCCAACCCAGCATGGTACCGGGGTGTGTGTGCGTGTGTGTGGCACGAGCAGACCCAGTAGGGTGCCGAGGGGGGGGGGGATGGCAGGAGCAGACCCAGTACAGTGCCGAGGAGGGGGGATGGCAGTAGCAGACCCAGTACGGTGCCGGGGGAGGGTGTGTGGCAGGAGCAGACCCAGTACGGTGCCGGGGGAGGGCAGCATACCTAGCAGGCAGCATGGGGAGTGGGATGGGGGGAGCAGGCCCAGCACGGTACCAAGAGGGGGCAGGTGGAGCAGGCTTAGCGCAGGTGCCCGGGGGGCAGGAGGAGCAGTCCCACCACAGCACCTGGGGAAGTGTGTGGGGGGGAAATCAGGCCCAGCGCCCAGTGAGATGGGGGAGTGCACCCAGCAGGCAACACAGAGAGAGGGGAGCCCACCGGCACTGGGACACGGATCCCTGTCTTGAAACCAGGCCAGAGCCCTGGGGGTCAGGGGTTTGGTTCCCACAGGAAGGTCTGTCTGAAGCCAGAGCTCCAGGAGGTTTCACTGCCGGGCTCGGGGTCCTCAGCGGGGCCTGGGGCAGGGCTGGGACCTGTGTGTGAACCAGTCCCCTGCCCCAGCAAGCCCAGCTGTTGCTCCTTGGAGCAGCTGGCAGGGGGGTGCGCGTGCTGGTTGAGCGAGAGCTGAGGGCCGCATAGGCAGCCTGGAACAAACGTGGGAGCTTCGTGTTAATCTCTTTATTACCCATGTACAGCTCTGGGCACTCCACTTGGCACGGCTGCCCCTGGAGCGGGAGAGAGGCTTTCCTCCCAGGGACAGGTGCTGCAGCCATCCAGCACGAGAGACGCTGGATCGCAGCAGAGCAGGGTGCTTCAGGCTGTGGCGGCCGCCACACCCAGGCACTACCCCCTTGTTCTGACCCAGCCGGCTTGTCATTTGCTGTGCTCCCGAGGCCGTGAGGGGTCTCTGAGCAGGAGTCTACCTCGAGGGACACGCTGGGCAGGGCTCACCCTAGTGACGCAGCGTCGAAACCTGGGTTCGTGCAGGGGCCCTATGGACAGAGGCAGGAGAATCACGAGAGCGAGGGACAGAAGCAGTACCAGAGGGCCCCCCCCAGACGGCTTCAGGGCAGGGACAAATGACACCCTGTGAGGGTCCCAGGCCCTTCCAGCAGCTGTGTGAGTGGGCTGGGCCCTGACCAAAGCATCCCACACACCGGGGGAATCAAGAGGACACGGATTTACTGGCAATAGAAAATAGCCTTCCAGAGTGGCTGCTGTGACTGACGAGCCCTCAGCAGGGCACCCCCACAGACTGCTCCAGACGGCCCGGCCCCGGGGGCGATGGGCCCGAGCAGCTGCTCAGAGCCCGTTAGGCAGGCTGGCCCAGCCCAAACGCTGCTGGAACTTGCGTGGTTCTGCTCTCAGGAGGCCCGGGCTGCAGCTGGCAGTTGCATCTAGGGTAGTTCTGATGCTGGCACTAATCGGCCCAGTCCCGAGTGAAGAGGGAGGAAGTGCCCATCTGGGCTGGATCCAGTGCTGGGAGGAGGCCCAGCCCAGGGTGCACCTGCAATGCGCCAAGAGGCTCTTTCACACCCAGGCCCAAGTCCAGGTGCAGCCATGGGGGACGAGGAAACGCCGGGAGGCAGTGGGGCACTAGCTGACGGTGTCTGGGGCGCTCTCCGCACTGGCAGCCACCTGCCGGCTAGGGTGGGTTTCCGTGCCAACCGCTGCTGGCAGGGCCGCCGGGGCAGCACCAGGGACCTCCTGCGGGCTGGAGCCCGGGGCCACCTGGGCTGCAGCGGCCTCGTAGTCAGAGATGCGGCGCTGCACAATGGAGGGCATGAGCTGCACGTAGGCCCCCATCAGGCGGTGGTTGGAGTGGACGAGCTTCCCAGCGCAGCCATCTAGACAGGCCTCCTGCAAGGACAAAGCACAGGTATCATGAGGGACGCGGCTCCATGGAGAGCAGATTCCCATTCCTGCCCACAGCTCCCACTGCCTGGCCCCCTGCCATCCTCAGTACCCGTGCCCATGAAGCTGGCAGCCCGTGGCTCTGACACACGGGGTGCAGAGCTAGGAACAGAGCTCCTCGGCCTGGAGGCAATGAGCTCCCCCGCAGCCCCAGGCCTGGGGGACTGGGCAGGGGGCCGAGCTCACCTCCTCCCTGGTGGGTGCCCGGTAGTTCAGGTTGGAGATGCAGCGCTGGAAGCAGAGCTCCGTCATCCTGTTGTAGACGAGCAGGAAATCCCGCAGCTGGAACGAGAGCGGGGGGAGGGTGGGGGGGGGCGGGGGTTAGACCCTGACTCTGGGACACTCCCCCAGGCCCCGGCTCTGCACAGATTCCCCCCCCCCCCTTGCAGACCGGTACCCCACCGCCTGGCGGGATAGCCAGCTCCGCTTCCCCCCCACACCCCC